TAATATATAAATGAAAAGAACTTTGGATTTATTAAGAGAAACCCTTTAATATTGAAAACATAATTTACAATATTTAAAAATTACCCAATATATAAATGATTATCAAAGGTATAATGTTTTAAAATGGCAAGTTTTCGTTAAGTCTATTGAAAAACTTTTAAAAGAGATTTATTAAATGCAACTCTTATTATTTTGATAAATTAAAAAAAAAGTGAAAACATTTTATAATGTTTAAATCTCATGCATCAATTTACTCATAAAACTCATACTTGGGAGATACCAATTTTTGGTTTTTTTAAATTTTAGAAAAAATTTTTTCCCAATAAAAAATGACAAATATAAACGAAATAGAAATCGAATTAAAACTTATTACATTTTACTAAACCTCAGTAAAAACAAAATAATTTTTTTTTTTTTTTTTTCAATTTGCATGTCATTTTGTCAAAGTGAAACAAGATTTTTAGGTTCACTTCTATTAATAATTACTAAACAGCCAACAAGACAACAATGGAGTAATACGAAACATATTTTTAAAAAAGCAATAAAATTGATTATCAGATTATTTAATTGTTTGCTAATATGTGTATGTAAAATTGTAAATAGGTGAAAAGAAAACAAAATGAGAAAAAAATATTATACAAATCAACTACAATATGTAGAAAATCAGGAGAAACAACTTTCAAAATTTACCTTTCATCTTTGCATAAAAATTAAAATTTTTGTTAATGGTGAAAGATTAAAATCATGGTTACATAATTTAAAAAATTTTTAACTAAAGTAAGATTTTTTAAATTTTCTTACTTAAAAGCAGATTGAACATTTTAAAGGCCTGTTATAAGTAAGTAAATCAATAAAAAAAATTAGACAAGTTAATTAATAAATTCAATCAATAGAAAAATGTAAGATTGCATCTTAGTTTGTCATAATATTTTTTTTAATGAAAAACATATAAAAAAAATAAAATTCTACAATATTTGGCATATGTCAATATTTAAAATTTTAATAAATGGCCGAAAAAGAAAAAAGATGGATCTCCAATGAAATTCAAGGTTATGCAATAAAAATTGATTTCCCAGTATGATTTTTTTTCTAATTTTTCAATGAAATTGATCTTGCTAAAAACAGATAATGCTCACCTTAAATGAGTAATGACCCGAAGTTTGATGTTCATTAGATATGATCACAATAAATAAATAATAATATTTGAAAAAAGCAAATTTAACGCCGTAGAATTATTATTTCAATCAAGAGAAATCGCCATTTTGACGTTGAGAACTGATTTCAAAACAAAAGCCTACCGTCAATTTGGTGTGAGAAAATGTTATAAATTGTATAAAATTGAAATAAAATTTTAACAATCACAACTTAATAATTAATTTTAAAATATAAAAATAACAGAAAAAAACAAATTAATTAAAATATTAAGTCATAAATTTTAAATTAGGTCACTAAAAATATAAAATACTATCATTTAAGGTCATTCAGCACACGACAGATCACCGGTTGAAGCATGCGCATGCGCAAAACTATTCGCAAATTTTATTGGACTATATTGCTTAGTCAAGGTTGATTTCCTTTGACTTCGTGACACTTCTCAAAGGTAAAATATTTAACATAACACTTCAACAAGTGTTTTTTTTTTTAATTTAATCATTTTTATTTTGAAAAAAAAAAAAATTAACGACCCAACATCGTGAATTATGTATGTAGTTAATAACATTTTATCAAATTAATTCTTCTTTTTTTTTAACACAAAAACTTTTTTGATTGCAATAATGCGTCTAAATAATTTATTATTTTATTCGACATTTTAAAAAAAAAAAAGTTTCACGTAAATTTGTACGTGGTTGTTTTATAGAAATTTGAATTTTTTTTGTCATACCGGAAGAATAATTTTTTTTTTTTTAATTATACGTTTATTCTTTTAAAACTTCGCGGGATATTTATTAATTTTATTTCATTTACGATTCTTTTGACGTTTTTAAACGTATTTTTCACGTATTTAAACATTTTTAATAAATTAAATAAGTAATTTATACTAAAAAAAAATTACCATAAAATTCCTTTAAAAATAATTTTTATGTGTTGATGACTTTTTAAACATTTAACACAATTTTTTTTTTTTTTTTTAAACTTTTCATTTTAAATAAATTAAAAAATTTATAAAATATTCAAAATTTTTTTTTCTAAACTTTTATTATTATTATTAAGTAAGAAAAAAAAAAATTAGTATTAAATTCGAGTAAATCAACAGAAATTAATATTTTGAAAATATTTTTCAATTACATAAAAGCCCCCCCCTGCTCCTCAAATTAATTCCTTTGTTTTATCAATTTATTTTATATAAAAAGAAATTAATAATTGATATATATATATATATATATATTTATTTATTTTATACTCATAAATAAATAATTAATTTTATTACTTTTAATAATTTTCTTTTAAGAACACGTCATAAACTTTTTTTTTGTATCTATTTAATGATAAAAATAATAATAATTATTATTATTATTATCGTAAATTATAAATAAATAAATAAAATTTTTTTTTTGTTTATGTGATGCAAATACCGACGGCAATGTCAGAGGGTTGAACTTGATTATATAATTTTAATTATTTTCCCCTACCCGCACCCCCCCCCAAAAAAAAGGGTAAAGTTTATATAATTACAAGATAATAATGATAAGATTAGAAATTATTATTAATACATTTCAATTGCATATATTTTATATTATTTTTATATGAGTTTTTCATTAAAACAAAGAAAAAATAAATAAATAAATAAAAAATGAAGTTGTATAATTGATTCGGACAGATGCTTTGATCAATTGGCGATTTTCTAGAACCCTCCCTATATACTATATTTCTCGAATACACTTGTAAAAAGCACCTCGTGAGGCCTCCTGGGGGTTGGAGAAATTTGCCCCTATCTTAAAATCAATCGAAAAATCCTCCCTGCAGGCCCTTTTTCAATTCTAACAGTTGTTATGTTTTAACATTTTTTTTTTTTTATTCCTCCACTTATTTAAATATTCAAATTTTCACTTAAAGACAATGTAAAAATTCCGTTTAACGATAATAATTATTATTATTATCATATAAAAGTTTTAAAAAAAAATAAAACATTTAATTCAATTAATTAATTAAGAGAGGAAAATCTTTTTTTTTTTTAAATAATAAAATAATTTTATATTAAACGAAATAAAATCATTTTGTTTTTGTTTTTAAATCAATAAAAACTCTTTTATGACAGAAAAAAAAAAAAAAATTGTGGCTTTTTTTTTTTTTTTACTTGAAAGCTCATCCTATCAAAAAGGAAAAGAGGAGCAAAAGGAGAGGGGGAGGAAAAAAGAGAGATAGAATGAAAAGGATTCGATTTAATAATAAAAATATTTTGATTGAAAAAAAAAAAAGTAAAACTCGTAATTAAAAAAGTTTCATTTAAAAAAATAAAATCGCTTAATATTATTTGTATTTGTACATTTTATTTTATATTCATATATTATCATTATTATTATGAATATTATCATTATTATTAAAAACGTGATATATTCCTTATGAAAAATTTTATTTATTAACAAAGGCGAGCGATTAGGGGCTATTTAAGTCGATATTTTTATTTATAATTATACATTTATTTAATTATATAATTTTTTTATATACACACATTTCATTATTATTATTATTATTATTTCATAATTTTTTTAAATAAATAAATAATTAATTAATTAATAAACGAGGGAATTAAAATATTTATTTATATTTTCAAGTATCATGTTGTGTAGTAATTATTTATGAGGGGAAAATTTTTGTGTTCCCTTTAGGTACGCACACACGCACACACGCACACATGTATATGTTTTTTTTTTTTTTTTTTTTTTCGAAACAGATTCAAAATTTTTTAAAATTGAAAAATCCTTGACAAAAGAAGATGAGTGAATGCTGTTGTCATGGTTACAGGATTCTGTTCGCCACAGAGCTTTATTGATTCTCAAAGGCAAGTAACAAAACTCTTCACTTACAACAAACAGGGAGGGGTTAAGCGATATGACAAACTTTTTTTTAAAAAAAAAATTTTTTTTTTTATTCCAAATCATATATATAAAAAGTCATAACAAAAAAAAATTTTTATTTTCAAAAATAATAAATTTAAATATTTAAAAAAATTTGGATAAAAAATAAATAAATAGAGACCAACGTTTAAAGATTTAAAAATAATAATAATGATAATAATTATTAATCATTAAATTTTTTTTTTTTTTTTGTTTAAATTATAAAATTATTATTTGCGTCCCGACTGATATAATTCGAAAAAAAATAAATAAATAACCTTTCTAAACATTATTTATTAAAATAAAAATAAAAAAATAAATTTTATTAATTATTATCATTATGTATTAGGACGATTATTAAAATTGTTTAATATTTTTTATCATTTTTTTTATTTAATTATCTATTTTAATAATATTATTAATTTTATTCTCTTTAAATTTATAAAAAAAAAATAAAATAAAATTTTTATTTTTTATTAACTTTTTACTAAAAAAAAAAAAAAATAATAAAAAAATAAAAAATAGTTGGTCTCATTGTTGTTCGCCTTTTTTTTTTTTATTGTGATTTAATATAAATTTGTGACGAGTGTTGTCTATTATTGACTTTATGTTGTCAAAACACACGTGACTGTCACGTGTACACCGTGTAATTACCAATATTCTAAAGGCAAGAGTCCCTAATTTGTGGCCACTCCTAGTTTTCTTCATTTTTTTTTTATTTATTTATTTTTATTTAATTTTCGAATAAAAAAATGTATTATTATTATTATTACCCCGCAAATAATGAGAGTTTTAGTGGAGAGAGAATTCTTTCCTTCCTTTTTTTTTTATAATTTAATTAAATTTTTTTTTTTTGCTCTTTTTATTCTTTTTTTTTCTCGTCTTTGAAATGAGGTGGGGGGTAAAGAAACGGGAGGGGGCGTAATATTTACGTTAATAAAAAAGTTGGCAAACCTGAAAAAAATGAAAAAAAAAACTATTTATTTATTATTTCATCGAGATTTGAATTTAAACGCGAATATATATATATATATAAAACACATCCATATTTTGTCTTTCAATATTTTATTTTGTTGAGGGGAAAAATATAAAGAGAAATAAAAGTAAGGCTTAACTTCGTTTTCGATCGAGATGGCGGAGCCGCCCAAAGGGATGATTTTGAACAAACTCCCATTTTGTGGCCCCCATTTCCTAGGTTCCCTTTCCATAACCTCCTCACTCATGTTTCTTTTTCACCGCCTAAAATGCCGGGAGCAAAATAATTGCCAGCGACTTGGAATAAAGAGATGATGATGATGATGATGATGATGATAAATTTTCATTTACTTTTTATATTTACAACTTTAGTTTTGTATAATTTTTTAAGATTTTTTTTTCTTTATTTATTTATTTCCCATTATTTTCATAATAATAATAATAATTTATTATTCTTTAACTCGTCTGTCTGCGTGTATTACTTACGATGAAAGCCCATATTTAAATGTTACAATAATTTTACAGTAATCCCCCTCGCATTTTATTTTTTTTTATAGAAACATAACAATTTTAAAAAGTCGGAAAAAAAAAAATCCTTTGTCATGATAAACCTAAAAGAACAGATGAAATGTAACAAAAGGGAGTAAAATGAGAAATTCGATGCTTGCTGCCGAGGAAGTGATGACAAGTGGATGTCAAAGAAAACAGAAAAAACATTAGATAATGAGAGGGCAAAAGAAAAAAAAAAAAAAAAAAAAAAAAACGGTATATGAGGTTGGGTGACAGAAAGTGACGGGGATGATTGAAATCTGTTGCATTGGGTGCATAATAGACTTTGGTTCATTGACTGTGACACCCCCGACCAAGAGAGTCCTTTTGGCAAAAAAAAAAACCCGCCCCGTCCATCTGTCGTCGCCCTCGCCACTCGATACCAGTTTCTTTTTTTTTTTTTATCAATAATAATAATAATAATAATAAATTTTTTATTTTTTTACCGCTTAAAAAAAGAACGGTGGTACCAACCGTTTGGATACCGTTACCAACCTAAACTTTGTTTTATATTTATAAACTATTTTAAATACGTGTACGTATTAATCAAATCGAAAAGCAATGAAATTAATTAATGATAATAATAATAATAATTATATTAATGATAATTTTTTGCCAATATTTTTTTAATTGTAAATTAATTTGTATCGTTTATTTATTTTTCCTGGTTTTGGTAAATTTTAATAGTTTTCCCTTTTTTTTCTTTTTTTAATGAAAATATTTTCATACTCATTGCAATATTAAATGTATCCGTTGTTCTTCGAGTTAAATAAAAACTTTTTTTTTTTTTTTTTACAAAAAAAAGGAAAAATAATTTTCCTTTTTCTTTTTTTTCTTTCGGTTTCTATAGTTACAGCTTCAAATAATCTACCAATAAAAAAAAGAATAAAACCGGATGAAGGTTTTCAACTTGAATCTTCATTTACGAAAACTTTTCCACATTCAACGTGATTGGTGAAAATTTTTCTTTTTTTTTTTATATTCCCTCTTTTTAAGAAAACATAAAAATTTGTAGAAAAAAACCGTTTTTTCTTTTAATCATAATAATAATAATAATTAATATTATTCGGTTCAGATTTTGTTTTTTACAAGGATTGTAAAAAAAAAGGAAAGAAATTAAATAGGAAAGCCTAAAAGTTGAAACTCGGAAAATATCAGAGGAAAGGGGAAAGGGAGGGAGGAAGGAAGAGAAAGAGAGAGGGGGAAGGTAGAAAGATAAAATGATGAAGAGAAAAAAAAAAAAAAACAATAATGAAGACCTCCCATTCGATAAAATTTAAATGACGAGAATTGTCATCTTAAATTAAAAATATATTGAAAATGTTTAAAACCGGAAGTTGTGCTGAAACGTTTACGGTTAGCATAAGAGAAAAACGGACGATTGTAAAAATTTTATCTCTTTCCTTTTGCGCATGCTTCGTATGAAAATTTTCAAATGATTTTCAAGGATAGAGAAAATAAAAAATAAAAAAAAAAAAAAAAAAAAGAAAAAAGAAAAAAAAGGAAAAAGGAAAAAAAAGGAAAAAAAAAAGGAGAAAAGAAAAGGAAAACCAGGAGAAAAAGAAACTACAAACA